TTAAATGACGTAACTATGCACGGACGACGCGACGAATACATGACTATTAAATTGTAACAATAAGATGAAAATACAAAGGTGCCAAGTAGTTCCCCGCAGTTTGAATAGAATAGGGATATTCTCTGCTGCTTTTTTGATGAGTTGTAGCATTTATGCTGTATAATTAGAAATTAAATAATTCTTAAAGGTTGATCGACGCTCAGTGAAAATATACGTGTATCGTTCTTACTAAAATAATGAGTGTAATGTAGATTGTACTTATTATTTTGATAATTATAATAAAAATGACTGCGACTATGAACACGGCAGTAATGCAGTCAAGTACTATTAAAATATGAATCCGGGCCTAATTGGCAGAGATTTTTGTCATTTCTAAAGTGATGCCGAGTTAGCTGATTAATAATTATAGCTCATATTGTCTTATTTGCAGAGCAATTACGTTAGCTATTGTTGAAGACTCAAACAAAATGAGCGGTTCCGATCAACTTGAGGAGTTGATCAAATTTTTACATCCTGAAGCACCAGCGCTTTCCAAAGGCCCAGCTGTAATTTATTTGTTAGGTATGACGGCAACTGAGGATGGTCTTGCCGTATTTCGGCGGAAACCAGCTTTGATCGATACATTGTGCATTCTCATTGAGAAAGACTCGAGTTCCACGATAATCGGCAAAGCATATGAATGTATTTTAAACCTATCATCTTACGAAGATATGGCTTTGCATATACTAACAAGATGTAAAAATTTTGTTAAAAATAACGTGGTGTCCGATGCCTTGAATATTAATGAGCCAAATGCTATGCGGGCTTGTGCCGTATTAGCAAATCTCACTCAAACGAAGAATAGCGCAGAAAAAACATGGACTTTAATAAAACCTCTCGCCGACAATTTATTGTTTGCCTTTTGTCATAGAACAGCCAATAACAGGGGTTATAGTCCCGCAAGAGTTCCCACAGCAGCTGAAGTTAAAAATGACGCTATGCAGGACCATATTGCCTTTGTGTTTTCCAATTTAACTGCGTTGCATTCTGTACGAAAGTGGTTTATGGATCCCGAAGCACGGCGCCTTGAGAAACTTTTTCCCTTCATAAGCCTATCGACAGCAACACCAACGCGTAGGTTTGGTGCGGTGGGTACAATTCGTAACTGTACGTTCGATACCGAATACCATCAATGGCTATTGAAGGAATTAGATATTCTTCCTCGATTACTGATCCCGCTTATTGGGCCAGAAGTCGAGACTAACCTAGATGAAGAAGATATGGAGCAGCTTCCAATTGATTGTCAATACCTAGGCCCTGATAAAAAAATGGAAGAGAACCCTGAAATTCGAAAAATGCTGATCGAGGCGCTCAACCAATTATGTGCCACAAGTTTGGGAAGAAAATATCTGAAGGAAAATGGAACGTATTTTGTACTCAGGGAATTGCATAAGGTGACTACAGCACTAATTTTTACAGTATAAATCTATCTAATTGTTTCAAACAAACATCTAATTGTTTTTCAAGAAAAGGCTCGTCTTTATGCATTTCCAAGGCTCGGATGATCTATAATGCATTTTTAAAGCTTTTAATGAGGCTAGAAATAACACCGTTATATAATCGAGGTAGAAACAGTAGCGACGTATGTAACAATAAAGTAAATAATAATAATAAGAGGCGCTTTGAGACAGTAAAATGGTATAGAACTTTCTGCAGAGATTCGAAATCTTCAGATATTATTTTTCTTAATAAGATCATACTGCATACCTAATTCTATTTAAATAATAACATATATTATGTAATGCCATGGAATAGGCAATGACAATAAATGAAGTGGCGAATTTTAGTACTCTACGTTATGATCGTTGACTCTGCTCATAACTACATTAACGTCCAGATCTATTTTTAGAAATTAATAATAATTCGATCATTTTTTTATAATAATGGTAAAAATGATAAATTTTTATCACTACACAATTCAATTTTTTTAGAAAAAAACGTCAAGCATAAACAACGTAGCTTCGCTACGTTAGTCAATTACTTGAATTGTCTATTGATATCTGATGTTTTAATAATTGACGGAGAAGCGTGACAAGCAAATATATGAACGAGATCTGGCAGCATTTCGTTATCAGTAGTTTATGAAATTGCAAGATTTTTTTCCAAATGGGACTTTTTGTACAAAAGTATGATAAACCATTCTGTTATTCACACACGCTCTATAGGTGGAGAAGGACCGAGTGGTCGTGGTCGCATGTGAGAACCTTGTCGACATCCTGATTCAGGACGAACCAGAGCAAGATAACTTAAAGGAGATTGATATCCCCGCTGAGCTAGTGCAGAAATTTGAAAAAATGGACGCACAAGCTTTGAAGGATGGTACTGATTAAAGAAAGAATTTATTCAACCTTTATGGAGCTTGTTGGACCTACCTCGTTGGCTATATTTCCACTGTATATAATATGAATAAATATGTTTCTTATACATTAATTACAACGCAGCAGTTGTTATTTGTTGCAGCATTCAATGGTAGGCCAAATTAATTAGAGATTACATCAAATATTGTTACATACAATAAGTCAATTATTATTATTATTGAACTGTATGTAAGCATAATTAATAATGACCTGATACGTATAAGTTGAATTATATATTTGACGTATTACAATACTGTAAGTGATGTTCTTTAGAGTAACAAAAGTACCTGCTCATTTTGTAACCATTTGGCCAGTTTCCTTTATTAAATGTAATAATGTTAATTTGTATCTCTATCAGAATAAATACATCTGCGTGCGACCTTAGCAAAATAGGGCGTCCGGCGTTTTCATCCTTTTATTTGCCTACTGCTATCACACCTACTGAGCGGTTTAAATAGATCTAACAAGGACAAAGCTCTTTCGCTTTGCTCGAGGTATGAAATTTTGTTGATACTCGAATGAGTGGCAGTCTACACTTATTGCAGAAAAACACCTTTCGAGAAAATTATGTGAACTCAGCACGTGCTTTAGTTAGACGAAGAGAAGTAACACAACGGCGAAAATGCAGCATTGACTAGCTCTGTCACGTCTATAAGTGCTATAAAGAAACCGATTGTCTATAGAAAACAAAAAATTACTCCGCAAAGAATCTGAAAAATATCCGTCTCAGACGGCGCAACTCTGAATGAGGATATCCTAGTTTAGCGGTTTACCAACGCAGCTTTATTGATTATAATCGAAACAGACTGGGTCGACAGATGTCTCATATACGGTCAAATCTGGATATAACTGACGTTTAACCATCTCGGCAGCAGCGATGGCTTAATCGAAAGAAAAGGCTTCCCGGCTTTTCCTCCCCGTAAAGACGAAGTTAGCTAAACACGTGCCCCTATGTACTTGTCATATTCTCATCATCAGTGTACGCTCAAAACCAGAAATCCAGGCCTGAGCGAGTCTTGCCGCTTGTCTTTATATAATAGTTCACTCATTTTTTAACCATTTGTTGCCGAATTCACCATCTTCGAAGTCCGTGTCGTAAACATATTGTGCTGCGAAACGTTCAAGCAAATGTCTGCAAACAATGCTGTTAATACAGTTCTGCTGTTCACATCTCCTCAACTAGTTGCGACCCTACGTTCCTATAATACTATCGCCATTCTCTCCTTTGCTCAGGACACTCGTTAGGTATATAGGACATATACCTACTTCTGTTTTCGGCCCACTAGCCAGAAAGCACGGAAAGAAGGAGGCGAAAGCAACTGGGAAAGACGTTCGGCAATCAAAAAGAAGATGGTTGCACAGGATATCTTTATTAATATACCGCTGTCTTCCCTTTCCTACCCTAGGTACTGGCCATTTGTCTGAACGTTCATTCGTTCATCCAGCCGACTTAAAGTGACGACGAAGCAAAGGCCTTGTGCAAAGAAATTTCTAGGCGTAATAATGGTCGGTGCTTTTCCACCGCCCCGGCGGACCGCTGCCACCTCGGACGCTTTGCCCCAAAAACTCCTATCCTCCATTTTCTCTTCGCCCCTTCTTACCCCTAACCAGCTTCTTTAGTAGCATCAATCTTCCAATCAGCGTGACCGTGTTTTTCTCTTGCAACCCATCTCGCTCATCGTACTCGTCTTCGCAACCTTCGTGTGTCTGCTGAAATACCAAGATGCTGGCGACGCTTTCATTCTCGACCACTTTCCCGATCTACCTTCGGGCGTCTTCTTGCGTCTTTTGCAAAGATGGCGTAGGGGCTGGGTGGGTCATCGTTGTTTCCTCGTATAAGGCCCGCCTGGCTGCTGGGCCGGCAGGGCGCCGCTGAGCCTGATTCTACCAACTATGCAGTTTGTCAATCTGCTAGCCGGCCAGCGAAGCGCAGGAAACCGTCCAGCGGGATTGAGCGAGTGCTGAGATCGTTGGCAGAGCCGAGTATTGCTGGTATAGAGGGAGGGAAGGTTTCCTGTTGTATAGTAAGGTCTAATAAGTAAATCGGAGCATACTTGTCGCGGGCCTGTGTTCCGTTAGCAGAATTTCATGAACCGTTGTGGATAGCTTTTGATTGAGTCTTGGCGATGCAAGCATGCTATCGGTGCTACCGCGGCAGTCGAGCTGTTGATTGATGGTACCATAGGCTTTCCGTATCCGTAATCCTCGTGATCTTTTCTACGTTTTCTAAAAGGTGTGACGAATCAAATCGGACCGAGGGCACGACAAAGACCGTACCATTATTCTTCGGACAAAGTTGCTGCTAACAGTGAAAATGAGTTCTCTTTTATTTGTGACGGCCTCTCCTTTTGTTTTAGTTTCATGGCTACCTGTATTCATCAATTGCTCGGTCTTAGGAGAGATTTCTTACCCCAAAGCTTGCGTGGTTTGCTATGAATGTTGATGCACTCCGCTTTTGATGAGGGAGACGGCCATTCGGCAGCGTGACCATGTGGCGTGTCCATGGTCCTTATGAGTCGCAATGTTCCCCACATATTATTGAGATATCAGTGAGTTGTATGAATGAATGCTTGTTGCTTTCAGCAGAAACTCCAGCAGATCTTCGCCAGCATGTGGCGATGTGCTTGCTATTATTGCATTTGTATATATAATTATATGACGTAAATAAGAATATATGCCAGCATATGGCTAAAAATAATATAGACAGAAATTGCTTCAATATTTCGTGAACGCGACTCGTCTTTCACGCACTCTGTGATTATCTACTGTATATAGATAAGGAGCCTTGGACTTACTGTTTATGTGTCCTCGAGCGCTAGCGTAAAGAGCTAAATCAAGTTCGTCGAGCGATGCGTATGGTTGGCTTCTATTTGGACTTTTATGTGACTTATTTATGACGCATGGAGTTAGCTCACTTTAATTGGGGAGGCGAAGTACTGATGAGGAGTGTGTGTTTAAGCTAGTAGAGAGCATGGGGCGACAGCCATTCCGACGTAAAGGCGTTGCTGTGAAAGTTATTTCTGGTTATGAGTGGTATGAGCTATAGTAAGTTCTCGCGTTTTTTTACTGCATAGAAAACATCTTATTTTTAATTCCTTCGATAGTAAGTTATATATATA